AATTAAAAATAATAATTATTTTTGTGCATTAATAATATATTATTTGTTCAAACGTGGCGCAGTGTTAGCGCACTTGCATCAGAAACGTAAGATCCGTGGTTCAAGTCCCACCTCTGGGCAAGTTTTGCGACATCGGTTGGGAAGGAGATTACTAGAAAAGAAAGTCATTAATAACATGGAAAACTATGTAAACATGTTTTTGTAAAGTTAATATTATTGATTGTAATGACGGTCGATAATGTGCAGCCGCGGCGCAGTGGTTAGAGTGCCTGCTATTTATGCACGAGATTCAGGTTTGAAACGAGCTTTGGACATATTTCGCGTCACCATAAGGAAGGAGGTGTGAACTTTCTGGTTAAATGCATTTCCGCGGTGCTCTGTGACAAGACCGTTAGGACTTTCTAGGGCGCCTAAATAATTAAAAAAAAAAAATGACTGGCTTTTTGAAGGAAGACTCCAATCCACTTACCACGGCACTGCTCGTGTATCAACTATCATCAGTTGAAAGGAACTGCTTTTAATACCATTCGTCAGCCATTTCGTCGAGTAGAACTTGCTCTAAGAAAATAGTTTTTTTTTTTTTTTTTTTTTTGTTCTTAATACAATATAATTACAATTACAATTAGATTGTTAAGAAAAATACAATTAGATTGTTAAAAACGTTACTCAATAAGAAATAAATAAAAGATAAAACTAAGATTTTTTTGTTAATATAAAAAGAACGCGAAGACTCGCAGAAGACCATTAGGTCTTGTCACCGGGAACCGCTCTTTTTCATATAAATTCAATATATATATAAAGTAAAGTGCATATATAATTAATCACATTTAAGTGTATGTTCTTATAAATATTGAACTGAATAAACTAAATTAATACATCAAATTAATAACGTTTAAAAATATGACAATATATCACCATGAGACAAAATGATTTCTTTAAGCTTATTTCTCAATGAAAAATAACTCCAGAGAAAAATTAAAATGCTTTAAAATTATTTTGTTCCAAAGAAAAGCTCCTCGAAAAGAAATACTAGATTTTCAAAAATTAGTCTGAAAAAATGGTTGACGAATTAAATTATCATTTCTTAAATTGTATTTATTTTTATATTTCAGCGTGTACAAATTATGGAAAGAAACTTGGGAAGAGTTAGTTTTACATTTATACATAAAACAAAGAATTTTAAAAACATTCAGCTGATTTATATTAAGAATTTTCATTTCAAATAAAAGAGGCTTGGCATGAGTATATCTGTTTTTCTATTTTTAATGATTTTCTAAAAAAAAGTATACAAATATTTATGCAAAGGCAAATTGCTTGTGTAGCAATCTTTACAGAGATTGTTTTTTATTTTATATTTCAAAAGTGCATTAACAGTGTCAAACATCATTGTTGTCTTCTGCAACTTTCTTTTGCGCGTCATACCTTCAATACCAATGTCAAAAAATAGATAAAAAAAGTCTGTTAAATTTGGTTATTAAACCTTAAATTTGGTTATTAAACCTTACAATAACGCTCATTTGACTAAGAAAAAGCCGATTGCCAAAATGAAATCCATAAATATGAAACACGATTAAAGAAAAGCAAAACTTGGAGTCTGAACAAAAACTCCGATTCAAAATTATATGTCAAAGGCCTTGAAACAAAAAAGCTATTTAATGACATTTGGGCCCAATTCGACATTTGCGTATCATCATTCAACTTGCTGAACATAGGCCTGTTTCCCAAGGCAAGAGGCCTGAAGTGTATAGGGTGAGAGTAAAACTTTAGCTGATAAAGAATTTTATTGGACTATGTTAAGCCTATAAAATTTTACCCCTGAACTTTGTTACTGATAATTTTTCAAGTTATTTTATACAAAACCACGTTTGATGAGGTCCCATTTATATTGCTGTTTAATCTAAAAAGCATTATCTCAAGCATATGCTAAGAAATAGACTTTAAGTAACTTTCGACTCCATCACATAGGATGTTTTGACTTAGTTGGTCAAGCCAACGGTTTTCTTTAGTGTTACTAAAGTTATCGAAATTGGTATAAACTTCTTTTTCACATTTTTATTGTGATATGTTGATTTAATTATTTTCTTTTAACTAAAATATTAGTTTTGTTTACAGCGAATAATATTTCTTTTTTTACAAATGGTTTGGATGCTTATGTATTACGAAGAATGCGCCAGGACAATCTAGTTAATAACATTAAAATGAAAAGAGCATATCTGCTCTTTTCATTCCAATGTTATTAACCAAATGACTATTATCCTTTAAAAAGACCTGACCTTTTTACATTGCCGCCGAGCGCAAAAGAGAGTCGATGGCTGTAATTGCGGCAGAAGTTTATGCGACCTTTGCTGAATGGCTCAATGAGGAAGAAATAGATACGAAAATTTGAATCGAAATTAAAAAATCCTTGTATGGACGAAGAATGAGAAAAGTTGACATGACACACCTTGATTAAATATAATGTTTAGAATAAGACTAAAATAGTATATATTTTTTTCTATTTCAGGGAGATCTACAAGAGCAAACAACTTTAGTCAAACGTGGAAGTTTCTGGTTGATATTTAAACTCTTCCGCAATGTCATAAAAAAAAAAAAGAAAAGAAAATGGCATCAGAACTTTTCAAATACTTTTCTTCACAATTAAACAAATAAAAAAAAGTAAAATAATATAAATATATAAGTATGAGAACTGAGAATTTTTCTTCAATAATTTATTCGTAATTTTATTAATAAAAAAAACTACAATTTTTAGCAAGACTTTTATTGTTTGTTTACATTTCATCAAAGGTTGTTTACCTTCCGAAAATTTGCACAAGTACTAAATTCAAAACTCGTGCACCTAAAGTTGCGTAAAAAATTAAAAAATATTCATTCCTAAACAAATACAAATCTATCCGGACAATATTTTAAAAGATAGTTTTTATCCGATAGCGCCATTACAAATCCTTCCGGTCAATATTTCCTACTATAGTTTCGATCCGGAACAATTTGATCCACCTAATTTTTTTCTCAGCGTTAACAAAAATTCTGGAATAGTTCAATTAATTTTATTCTTAGAATGCAGACAAACTTTACCAGCGTCTGCATTAACATCAAAAAGGAATTTTTTGTTAGGACAAACAAAAAAACAAATTTTGATTAATTTTTATGAAAAACAAAAGTTTGTTATGCTTTAAATTTATCAATTTGAGTAAAGCTATTTCATAGTCTATGATGTATATATCAACAGTATTGTATTATATATATCACAGTATTGTATTATATATATATATATATATATATATATATATATATATATATATATATATTATATATATATATATATATATATATATATATATATATATATATATATATATATATATATATATATATATATATATATGTATATATATATATATATATATATATATATATATATATATATATATATATATATATATATGTATATATATATATATATATATATATATATATATATATATATATATATATATATATATATATAATGTATATATTTACATATAAATATATATATTATATATATATATATATACATATATATATACATATATTATTATTACTGTTATTGTTATTATTATTATTATTATTATTATTATTATTATTATTATTATAAATAAATATATATATATATACATGCATATTTATAAATCTTCTTAAATGTGTTGGCTTACGCTGATAATATGGTTTTAATTTTCAAAAACTAATTAGCTTTACAAATAAGGAATCTTCCTTAATTAATATGTCCTTAACCCAACTCAAAAATCAAAAATTATATCAAACTCCCTCCCAGAATTATGCATATCAGGCTGTAAAATTGGTTTCGTTAAATCTTTTAAATACCTTGGTCATATAATTAAAAATGACCTAACTGATGATCTTGATATAACCAAGGAGATAGTTAAATCAAGATCATCAGTTAGGCTTGACACACGTACAAATATTTTAATTAGGCGTTTTCATTTATGCTCTACCAGAGTAAAGGTTAAATTGTTTAAATCATATTGCATTTGTTTATATGGTTCTCCTCTGTGGCAAAATTATAATGATAAAACAATGGTACACCTTCATTATTGCTACAACAAATGTGGTAAAATGTTTTTTGGCCACAACAAGTATGATAGTATATCTCTCGTGCTTTTAGAGCACAAATTACCATCTTTTCATACAATTATCTTGAACTACAGACATGCTTTTTGTAAACAGTTGATGGCTTGTTCTTTAGTGAATAATTCCATGTGTTCACTTAATCAAAGTTTAAAAAAATATTTTTCTTGTAAAAACTATGGACCTAAATTGTATCTGCCTGTTGTCTGAAATATATTTATAATACAGGGATTATCTTTTTCCAGATATTTCCGGAATTCCGGATATTTTTCTCATTTTTTAGTTTTTCCAGATATCAAAAATGTTTTCCATACATACAAATTAAGGTATTTATTTTTCTAATATATTTGTTTTTTAAGCTTTTTCACTCATTATTCATACAAAAATCAAGTAAAGTTAAAAAAAAAATTAAAAACAACTCAGCTAAAATTAAAATTAAGAGGAATATAAGAGAAAATATATATATATATATATATATATATATATATATATATATATATATATATATATATGTATATGTATATATATATATATATATATATATATATATATATATATATATATATATACATATATATAACTATAAATACATATATATATATATATATATATATATATATATATATATATATATATATATATATATATATATATATATATATATATTGTATGGTTTATATATATATACTATATATAAGTGTATATATATATATATATATATATATATATATATATATATATATATATATATATATATATATATATTATATATATATATATATATATATATATATATATATATATATATATATATATAGAAAAAATTCATCAGGAAACTTCTTGAATAAATAAAATGTTGGAAAAAGCTGTTTTACTTTTCTGATCCTGTAGCACTTTTTTTTTTCTTTTCTCTATTGTATCCTTCTCTCAAAAATTATCAGGAAACTGTATGAATTCTAATCATAATCATTTCCAAAAAAAATATCCTTTATGTAAAAACTAAATTTTTCAAGTATATTCAGTTTTCATAAGCATAATAACATTTGTTTTCATTACTTTTATTCTTATAATTAAATAAGCTTGTTAATTATTTACAATAAATAAATTAAAAAGATATTTTTTTAAAAAACTTTTTTTTTTTTTAAGCTTTTAAAAATTTGAAAAATTTTTTAAGCTTGTTTTTAATCAATGTTTGCTCAAAAAAAAGGCTAGTTTTTTTTATTATATGTGATTTGCTTATTTAATTTTTCTGTTAATAATTCTAAAATGTTAAATCATTCTCTTTTTTTTTTTTTATTAAATTAATAAAATCATTCATTTTTGAATGGTGTTTATTTATAAGATCTTTTGATTTAAAATGTATATGTCAATCACCTGGATTAGTATACAATACCTTTGAGTGTTTTCATATTGAAATAATAAAAAAGTTTATATTTGTGCACATTAGCTTTTTTAAACAACAAATTATTTGTTTTTCATTATATTTTTTTTTGGATTAGCTTTTGTTTTATTATGTATTCAACAACAACAATCATAAAAAGTTGTAAAAATTTCAGAAGACTTTATTCAACTCTAACTACTAGCAAGATGACATCAAGTGATTGTAAATGGAATAAAATTGAAATGGATCGTGATCCAAAAGAACTTCGGGCTAAATGGAACAAACCTTCTTTTAATGTTGATAAAATGAAAGAGTTAATTGACCATGATAATCATGAAATGAGGGATGAAATGAGAAAGTTTTTGAGTGATCCCATTTTTAAGCCTAAGTATAACATCAGTCTATCTGAAGAAAGAGAGGTTTGTTTATTTTTATATTAATTCTAATATGTTTTAAATGTTTTAAGTAGCTTTTAAATAAAATAAATTATGATCATTCATAACTTGAGTTCTTCAATAAAGTAATATAAAAACATTTTAAATGCTTAATATCAAAGTTTAGCCATTTTTTAATTTTATTTTATTAGGAAAAATGTTTTTATATTTTATAAGCAAAAATCTTGTGTCAGTATTAAAGTTGTAATATCTCAGAAACCATTAAACAAAATTTAGGGTGTATTCTGTGTTTTGTAAAATACATTAGCCAAAATTTGTAGAAAATAAGTGAGGCCTGTATCTCAAAATTTCCCAAAATTAGAGAAATATAATATAGTGAAATTACCTAATTCTGGTTATTTTTGTTATTTCTTTTTTATATTTTATATATTGTCTAAAATAATCTAATACAAAATAAAATGAAACTATATTCTGTGTTATTAACCCAAGCAAGTTCATCATTAACATAAGCAGAGTCAGAGTTAGTTGCTAATGATCACATAATAGCAGTTGATTGTAAAGAAAACATATTATGTCTTATAATGTAATTACTGAAGAAATTTGATAATTTTGCAAGGGAATAAAATTGATTTCTTTAAGTGTAGTTCAAGTTTTATATTAATTTTTTTTTTTTTTTGGAAATGTGTTCTTAATATCTAGTATTAATTCTCTTACTTAAATTGATAGGCTCAAATTATAGACAAGTAAAAATTCTAAACATTTAAATTTTACAAAAACTTTAGTCAGTTATCATCATTCTTTAGCTATCAGTTATATATCTTTTTTAAAATTCCCTGAAGACCCTTAGTAGTATTTATGGTTTGTCATATTCTTACTGAAAGAAATTTTTTTTAATGTTAAAAAAGTTAAGTTAGAATAAATTTAATTTTTTGTTTTGTGATTACCTTATATGAATCCTCCCAGAGGGCAAAAGGCTTGTTTAAAATATCTAAAACAAGTCATTTTCTCACTAGGCTATTGGTTCATTTTATGTCAAACCATCAGGCTAATTTTTAATAAAATATAGGGTTTATGAAAATTAGGAAAATCTGAAAGTGGGAACTTCCAACTCTATGTTTCTTGAGATATTCAGGTTTCAATTTTCTTATTTATACTGACTCTGCATTTTTTTTGGCATTTTTTTTTTTAATTTAAAATTTGTTCTGATCATTCCCAACAAAGCTGCAAGCAACCACTGTTAAGTTGTGAGTTACTAGAAAAAAAAAAAAAAAGGAATAGAGTTGTAGAGTAAGGAAATGTTAACAGATGACTTGAAAAATTGTAGGTTGTATGAGTCAAGAAAACATGAAAATTGGAGGAAGTTCCAAAGGTTGAAGTGCAGAGGAAAAAATTAGACGAATAAAAGTTTTTAGAGCATGCAAGGACATATACAGTAAAAGAATGAGACTTAGATGAATGATGATTCAAGCGTAAATGAGTTTTACTTGATGAAACTAGAGATGATAGCTCCTTTGAGCAGCAACCATAATGGTATTTGTAGAAAAGAGAGATGAAATTTTATGATGATGGGAGAGAGACTCAAGCTTAGCAGACAGAGCGAGTCCAACTGTGTTTACAATTCCTTTTTTGGATAATATCTAGAAGAGAAAGAGTATCATTAGAAGAACCAGCCCAAATATGAAACAGTATTCCATACAGCCATGAATTAGAGATTTGTAAAGTTAGAGAATGGAATCAGGAGTAAGAAAATGTTGGGCATGATAAAGAGAACCAACCTTAGCGGGTGCTAATTTAGTAATAGATTGTATAAATGATTTCTATAATAGATCAGTAGTAAACGACAATCCAAAAAGATGTAAAGAATAGGACTCAGTTTGAGGGTTGCCATTCATTAATGTAGGAATGTTGACAGTATTGTGATAGTTGTTTGCAATAAATAACTGGGTTAAAATTTACAAGTCACTGCAAGCCTCAATCTTTCATAGAAATGATATCAGATTTAAGATTGGTTGCTTGATCTAAGTGATCGAAAATAGAAGACTTTTTGTCAAGACAGGAGTATAAAGTTGAGTCATCAGCAAAAAGAGCTACTTTAGATGTAAAGTTGTCAAAAAGATCATTAATGTGATAAAAAAAAAAGAAACAATTTGATAATCTAAAACTTTCCCAAATACACAATATGAAGAATATGAAGAATAATATGAATATGAAGAATAATATGAAGAATACTTATGGAGGAAGACCAGCATGCTAAACTTTATTAAAAGCTTTAGATATGTCAAGAGCAATAGCAAGAGCAAGCCTCTCCATCTTCATCTAATGCATGCTAAAATCTTTCAGTCACAGCAGTTACCAGATGTATAGCAAGAGGATCGAAAACCATATTGATACTCTGACAGTAAGTTATTTGAGATGGAATGTGAGAAATTTGTTGAACAAAGACTCAAAGACCTTACTAATAACAGAAATAAGACTGATCAGATGATGATTGGGGTTAGAATATTTTTCGGAGTTTTTGAAAATTGGAACCACAGATGTTATTTTCCAGCAGACAGGAAAACTTGTTAAATAGTTTAAAGAGAATTGAAGAGAGTTCTGGAGAATAATTTTGTAAGACTATGACAGAATTGTTGTCTTGACCACAAGCGTAGAAGAGTTAAATTGAGATAAGGCTTTAGCAACAGAAGCTGAAGTGATGTAAATGTCTAACAATGCATCAAACTTTTGTTATTCGAAAGGAAGGAAGAGAATGGCCATATGAGTTGAATTTGAAAAGTTTTTTGCAAATAGCTCTGCCTTATCTTTGCAAGAGGTAATAAGATAAACCCATGAATGAGGGATGGGATGTTAGACCTACCCTTGTTAATGATGCTATTGAAGGTTTTCCAAAAGTCTTTAGAGACTCACTTCTAAGATAAGATATGAGATTTAGTAAATTGAGAATAATGGGGCTCAGCATCAGATAGCACTTTTTATATTGATTTCTTGCAATGATAAATAGCCTCTAGTTCTGATGGGGAAATAGAAAGGGCATGGTCAATTTGATCAGAAATTACATCTAAAAGAATTTTAGATTTAATTTCTGATCAAATTGACCATGCCCTCTCTATTTCAAATTAAATTACATCTATCGGAGTCTTCGTGAATCAAATGATACTATCCATCAACGCTGAGATCTGAAGAAGGAATAGTGGAATTTAAATTAGACTCACTGAGAGCAAGCAAGTCTGGTCTTTATATCTTTTAAAAATATTCTCACAAATAATTGTAAAAGATATAATAAAACATAAACACCATCCATGCATAACATGGCATTGTTAATACTCTAATATTTTGCAGCTGTTGATGGAATTAGCCTTTCTGAGAACTACCACAGAGTTTGGGAAATCTTACTACCAGTTGGTCTCAGAACCATTAAACTGAGTTTTAAAGCTGTACCGTTATTAAGAGATATAAGGAAAAGTTGCATAGCCACTATCAATGAAGCACTAGCAAAAACCTATGAGTAGAGTCAAGAAAATCCAGCATTCATCATCTCTGGCAGAAAACAATGTAACACAGATTTACATCTACACCAGGCTAATAAATGAAAAAGGAGACTTTCTAAACAGTAGCTAGATGCAGTAAAATCTATTCAAGATGAGTATTTTTATTAAGAAAGTATCTCTAGCTTTAATTTAACTAAGAGCCTCAAGGCAGGGAAGAATTTTACCTGAAAAAGCACACCCTACGAACCAACAGGGCATGGGGCAGGTAATGCTGGGTTACATAATACAAGTAGAAGGTTAATTATTATGATCTTGAACCTGACCTTACCTGGAGTAGCTAAAAGGTGTTACTTCCTGCAAGCAGTACTTTAAGACACTAGGTATGATATTTTGGAAATGTATTAACAAAAACATTACATCTAACAAAATACTAGAGAATCAGGCAAACTTAGGTTTTATAGTTGGAGTAACTAGTTAGTTGAGTTTATTTACTGGGCTTACACTGCATCAAAGATATAAACAGAACACAAACATATATAAAGTAACTTACCATTGAGTGAACACTGCGTCAGAAGTTCAGACAAAATACAAACATTCATATAGTAACTTAAGGTGAATGAACACTCTGCCAGAGATTCAAAAAAAACATACACACAGAAAGTAACTTATGGGTGAGTGAACACTGCGCTACAGAAACATACAGATAGCGGTTTATGGTTGAGTCAACACCGCGCCAAAAGTTTAGACAGAACACAAACATACATATAAAATCAATTACAGGTGAGCTAACACATTAATTAAGGCACCTCCAACTATATGAAAGACACACAAAAAATAAATCAATAAATAAATTTAATAAAATATTATATCAAATTACTGATGTCACGAAGCACACTTCTTCCAGCCATTGTTTAGAAAGCGAATCCCATAAGACAGCAGGACATGGAACAGGTTGCACTGTTGGATTATATGTTACCAATAGCAGGGTCATCAATGAAGACCATACACTTTTAAGTTGTAAAATCACCAATCGATTTTACAACCTAAAATTAAAGTATCAAACATCACTTTTAAAGCAAAATATATTATTACATTTTTTGTCTTTTCTAAATACAACCTTTTATGTAAAGCTTATTTAAATGCTGATTTGGCATAAAATTTGTGGCTAACTTATATATGACAAGATTTAATTTAAATTTAGGTTGTAAAAAATTATTTATGAAGTCTTTTTGTGTTTGATAAATTTATACATTCTAGTTTTTTTTTTTTTTTTGTATCTGGGTTAGGCAGAAGGTCAAGGTGGGTAGAGGGATAGATTGCCTTCCTCCCACTCTTCAATTTTTATTTTTTGAACCTATTAAGACAAATAGCAAAGAGAATTTTTTTAGGCTAGGATGGATGAGGGTGTTGGTGAGAGGGGTCGAGTGAGAGATGTGGTTTTTTAAAGTTTTGTTCCTAGAAACAATATTTTTAATAGCATAACAAAATATAAAGTTTAATAATATTTTCCAAATTTTGTATGTTTATTTTGTTTAAAATTTTTGCAATTTTTTTCTATGAAGTTTTGAAGGCCTTATAGAACAAAATATAAAAATAATAATTTTATTTATTAAAGCCAATACCGAAGTACCTGAGGTATACTCGAAGTCAGGCAGAAATAGGGGGCAGGAATGATGGGGCATTTTTTCAACCCTTCTCCCCCTTCTTTAATTTTTTATTTTATATTTTGAACTCATTAAAACAATCAAGAAATTTTTTTTTGTGCATAAATCGAATTTTATAATCACCTTCTGCTTCATTTTTTTGGGGTTATAATTCCAATCCACCAAAACTTATCATACTTGCAAGCTAGGTGATCCATATGGTTAAAAACAGCTTGCTGCAAAACTAGCTCATTTGGTATTTGCACAAGGCTAAATGTCTGAATATCATTTTGTTGACTTGTCCTCTTAAAAGAAATCATACATTTATTAATTGCTATAAATGGTTAGAACATCCTGGCAATGTTTTTCCCTGAGTAAACCTTGATTGTAATGATGATTGAATTGCATTTATTTTTGTTTAATTACCCATTATAAATTGAATTTTTTTGATATTAGTTCCACAAAATTTAAACATCTTATATTCATCTAAAATCTGTCCTACCAAGTTCCTTTTTAAACTGGTTTGTGAAGTTATTTGTTTTACCTTGTCATCAATGCCATCACAAACATACTGTGGCTCGTAACAAAAAAAACAACCATTCAGCATCAAAATTAACAAATTATTTATATTGTGCTCAAATCTATATATTGCACATCCATCCAGAAAAAAAGCAAAATAACTTGGATATCAGTGCGCTGTTTGAGTTATAGAATATAATAACAGGATGAATATTGTTTTTTCCTGTCTTTGTTAATTTCCATTTGTTAATTGCTATTTTTTTTATCGCTGCTGTCAAACTTTACTGTTAAAAATATTTTTAAAGCAGTGCATAACGAACATCAATGTAACATGCACTCTGGACTATCCCTATTACAAAAAATCATTTCCATCAAATCTGTATATAGTCTGTGTCATTTATAAAAGCATCAGTAACCTAACAACTTATATACCATGTGCAAAGGCTACAAAACAATCCAATAGTTAAATTAGAGTATTCGGATTTAAATGCTATATAATATTTTTTTAAATTAATCAATATCAGTCTTTTTTTGCATGTGTTGTCTGTACTTGATACTTACAAAATCTTTTTTGCCAACATCATTCATGTGTGCTCATCACTTTGATAAAAGCTATAAGCATGATCAATGGTTTCATTTTTTTTTTTTTCGAGAGTAATTTTTTTTCTAGCCTCATGTATCAAGTAACTAGGTACATTGAAAAATTTAGCAGACTTTGTGAGTGACGAGTAGTGTTAAAATGTGTATTTTTGCAGAGTATATTGTCACTTTTTTTTTTTTATTTTTTTTTTTTTCATAAGTAAATATAGGTCATCAATTTTTACTATGTTATCATCAATGTTTACTATTTGAAAAAGTTAGTGATGTACAAGACATAACCATAGGGTCAAGCTTTAGTTATTTTGCTTGTTGCTACATCAGCGGTTTGATCATGTTTGTTTTTTTTGGCAGCTTGTAATCATTAGTCTTAAGACACTGGTTTAATGAAGCATAATAGGTGATACACCTATAGTATAATATGATAGCAAACTGTTGTAAAAATAAATTCCACAGTCAAATAAACAAGCTCTTCGTAATAATTCATATTTTTCATTACTTAAAAATGTTGATGTGTCAAGAGACCTTGTCTTTTTGTTCAACCTTGTTTGTGGCAGTCTACTTTACATTTGAATCTAATAAAACGCTTTTCCATATTTTGTTTTGAAATTTTGTTGTTGATAAAAAAATTATTTAAAAAAGTTTTTTAAAAATTATTTAAATAAATGTTTTTTAGAAATAACATTCACATTTATGTTTTTGAAACATTATTTAGACACTTTATTTGTATGTATGTGTCATAATATATGACTTTTTCTTATACATGATTGAAAGGTAATTAAGTTCAATTTTATCATTTATTATAAAATTTTGCTCTATAAGGCCTTCAAAAACATCATAGACAAAAATTGTGAAAATGATGGTTATGATTTAAAACAACAATGATTTTGTGTCATTTGTGTTGCTTTTTAATATGTAGCTTTGTAATATCCTGAATTTACAATAATATTGTTTTTGTTGATGAGTTAATAACAAAATTTTTGACATGAATTTGATGAACATTGAATTTCAACAAATAAAACCAAACATAAAAGTAATACTTGCATGATCAGTCAGCTGAAAAAATAATCTAAAAATAAAAAATTTAATCGATGTTGTTTTTTTTCAAAGTAAAGATTAAACTTTTTGTACTAATTATTATCAATAATTCTAAAAGAACAAAGTAAAACTAAAAAAGAATGAAATTAAATAACAGGTAAATAATAATATTGTTATTAACTAATTAAGAATGAAATAAAATATTAGAACAAATAAAAGACACTTTTTTTTTTAATATTTAAACAAAACATTTTTTTTCAATTTTTAAAAGTCTTCTCTTAGTGCTATAACTAACTCTCAAGTTATAATATATAAGTTTTATAGTTTGGTGAGAAATAAACCCAAAGCACATTTTTAACAAATCAAGATTTACTAGGTCAGTGATTTTTTAAAGCCTGTTTACACTCAAGGTTTTTATCGGTGACTGAAATAATTATTTTCTAACTTTTAAGGCTGATTTTTTTTTTTTTTTTTGGTTTTGAGATATAAAGTTTTTGTTGATAACAAGTAAAAATTAATAAACAGATGGGGAGGGGGGAGGTATTAATAAGCTTAGGGTGAGTGGGAAAATTTTCCAAAAGTTAATTAACCCCGCCCCCTTTTTATTAAGAACTCAAGAATATTTATTTTATTTATTTTAACATACTTATTAATCAATGTTAGATTGCTTTACAACGACTAAAAAAGATTTGTGAAAAAGGTTTTATATCAGTTCTTGATTTCAAAAACAATCCTCTAAAAATACTTGCAGCTCATGAAATTGCAAGTATTGTTGACCCTGCCATGTCAACAAAAATGACTGTTCAGTTTAACTTGTTTGGAGGAACTGTTCTCAAACTTGGTACAAAACGTCATCATGATCGATATTTAAAAGGAATAGATTCTTTAGAAGATATTGGTTGTTTTGCTTTAACTGAATTAGGGTAATATATTTTTTAAATTTGTATAAATTTAGTTGATATTTTCTTTGTTGGTTTCTTTGTTTTCTTGTTGTTTCTAAATCCATATTTTTATTGGTCCATTTTTTCACAGAAAATCAGGAATAGTATTACCGGAATGCAACCGGAAATTAAAGTGATAATTGGGATATTAAAAAAGTTTTTTCAAACCGTATGTTTTGTAAAAAGCTAGAAACTATGCAGTGTATTCAGTGATAAACACTAGATACACTGCTTAGTTTCTACCACAAATACCTTCAATTGTGGTTAAACCACAAAAATAAATTCTATAAAAATAGACAAAATTGTGAAAATAAATTTGGAAAAAAATAAAAGTATTAAAAATGCTCACAATATATTTTTACTGTCTTTTTTTTTTTCTAATTATTTTCAAAACTTAAATATTTTAATATTTTCTAAAGGATTTTTTTTTTGAATAAAATCTCAAAATCTTTTACTGGATCTTCTAATTGACAGTTAATAAAAAACTAAACATCTTCCTTAAGTTGATTATAAAAGTTTTTTATTAGTTTTATATGCCTATCGAGAAGTCTATGGTTTTTACTTTACATGCAATTTCAAGCCCACTTTCGCATCTAATGGCATCTTACACTTGTTGTTTGACTATGCAGTTCAATATTGTTTTATAGAAGAAAAACCCCTAACAACTGCAGAGAATTCAGTGGAATAAAAACCGTTATAAACTTTCAAGAACTTACAGATTATTTGATAAGAATAAAAACCTCTAACAACTTGCAGAGGAAAGAGAATCTCTGAAGGTTGTTTGAACCTCATTTTTACTAATACTAATAGTTTTACTAGTACACAAAAATTCTTTGCAATTGGATCAGTTATTGTCTTGATTATAAATGTAATTTTAAATTTTATGTTAATGTTTTTTCTCTCAACCCATTGTAAAGTCTTTAATGGATCCATGAATCCATTGAATCCATTGAAATGAATCCATTTGAATCCATCCAATGAATCCATTGAAAAGTCTTCAATGGATTGAGATAAAGATCGCGATTGGTAAGAATCTTTTTATGAATTTCACTTAAAATCACCATTTGTATAGCAATCAATTGTTGTTGTTGTTTGATTGGTTTTAATAAGCAGTTTAATTTAAATTTCTAAGGGTTTTTTTTTGTACTTGTTAGAAGTTTCATGCGAAGGAAACATAAAGTTGCTTATAGCAATATAACAAGGCTTTGCCCCCATGACTTTGCCCCCATGAATTTTTTGGTATTTAAAAAGTTCATCTTTTTCTACAAACACAAAAAGAAAATGTAATTAGTGTTTAAGAACATGAATCTTTACAGTAAAGTTAACCAATGATCAAAAAACATGGAGTCTTTAAAAATGCTTAATTTTTCAATAAGAAAGAGAAGAGAAGTAAGCACTATTGTGTAGCAAAAATATTTATTATGTCATTTAAAGCTAACTTTATCAATAGGAAACTTCTAGAGTAGTTAATTTAATGTGCAAACATAGTATCTTCCTCATTTTAAATCTCCAGATTTGCTTTTCTAACCCTGATTGCTTCAATAACACTGAGGAATCATTAAAGCTGTTTGACAAAATTTTCATACCATTTAACTATAAAGAAAGAGGCTAAGTATGGAACATCTTGTGGTTTTTATATACTTTACATTGACATAAATAAATATTACATTACATAGAATTGACACAGCATGTTGTTGAAAACAGAAAAAGTATGTTCTTATTTTATGTGTAAAAGCAAACATGACACACATTTTCCAATCAAATATAAACATTAAATAAAGTTATTATTTTCTAATTTTTATTGTTTTTAAATTAATAGTTAGAATGCTATAATAATTAGAATTTACAATAAATATTATAACAAAAATTGTCTTTAACTTTAACCAATCAGGAAAAATTTTTCTTTTTTGATTTGCTTTATTTTATCCAAATCATTTTTTGAAAGTATCCATGGCCTAAACATTTAAGAATCTATTTTATTGAGGCCCTATTAGTTTTAATGTGACCTAAATTTTTTTAAATCTAAAAAGATTTCAGAATGACTATATACATTCAGACTTTTTAAGTTATTATCCTTTAGTTGGGTGTCCTCTTGGATAAAAGAGATTGTGTTTGATTCTAAAATTGTAAATTAATACTAATACAAATAATTTTTGGAGGCTTTATTTATTCTACTATAATTGTATCTATAAATTTTTTATTTAGCTATGGCAATAATGCTGTAGAAATGGAAACAACAGCTGTTTATGACATTGAATCTCAAGAATTTATTATTAATACACCATCGCCACTTGCTCAAAAGTACTGGATCACTAATGGTGCTATTCATGCAAAACATTGTGTTGTGTTTGCACAACTGAATATAGAAGGTTTTGTTTTGAAAAATCTTTTCCAATTCATTGAATTGTGATTTTTCATTAAAAATTTTTTCAATTTAGTTTATTATAAAATACAGTGTAGGTAGGGCAAATAAAGAACATTTCTCTGTGAGATGGTTTAAGATAAACTCTGCCATTTATCTAGTAGGATAACAATTGATTTGTTTTTTGTAGAGTGTCATGATTGTATAGTTATAAAGTTGCAAAAGAAATAAAATAAATGATAATTAAAATTTAATTGTTTATACATATTTTACAGTCTATAGATTTAAAATAAAATCATTTAAAAAAATTTGATGCATCAAATTTTGAATGTAAACTATTGGTTGTTGCTAAACCTCTGTATTGGTAGATCATTATAAATATCTGTGAAAAGTTATCTATAAAGAACTTTATTTCCATTTAAGTTTAATTTTGCATGAAACATTTAGAACTTTTTGGATTACTTTTTTTTTCACTAAGTTTGTCATTATTCAACTATTCACAATATTTGTATATGTAAAATATACAAAAGGTCGGGCAAGAATAAAACATATAATGGTCTAGTCGCCAAGCCCCTACAGAATATTAAATTTTTTTTTTTTTGTTAATTTAGCTCTTGTTTGCAATCATGTTCTCTGCACATTTTTGTGTGGAGACCTGTCTTTACTAAATAAACGCAGGTATTATCGCTACATTAAATATATTTTCAATCTATATTTAATGCATACATATTTAAACTTCTTGCAGTAATTATACAAATACTAATAAGTTAGAGACAAGAGAACTTTTTTTTTCTTACCATAATGATTACATTCTTATCTTTAAACTCCATATTAATTATGTTTCCATGTCAATTTTTAATGATCGCATATTATATGTTATATTAGGAACACTTAAATATTGCATCAAAGCCTGAACAGCAATATATTCTAAATCTTTCTCAAACCTTTTGATTTGTTCATTTTTAATCAATATATCAGAGTTTAGTTTAAAGATACATATTTTTTTTTTTTTTTTTTTTTTTTTTATTTTAATTCACCTCCTCAAGGCCGAGAAGGCCACTACAGACGAGGAGGCTACTTAATTATGGTTATAACCCTCTCTCAACTCTATAACTCCGAAACACGAACCTTGACGAGCAAGGCCGCTGCGCGGAGAAACGAGTTGAGCGCGGTACTACCAGGGACGTGGTGGGGATCAAACTCGGAACCACTCGTTTATGAAGCGAGCGCTCTACCACTACACCACTACCGCATATAATGGATAATAGCATATAATCGAGGCAAAACATTTGTTCCAAAATTTGTTTAATCAAGTATCTAATTACTTTCTTTTTATATAGGTAAAAGCCACGGTGTTCATGGAATCTTGGTTCGAATTCGAGATGATAATTTAAATACTTTACCTGGTGTTGTTGTGGAAGATATGGGACATAAAATGGGAGTAAATGGTGTAGATAATGCTAAATTAAGTTTTTGCAACGTCCGAGTACCAAGAGAAAATCTTTTGAACAAATATTCTGATGTGGCAGAAGACGGAACATTTCAAACTGAGATTGTTAGTAATCGCGGTCGATTTTTAACAGTTGCTGATCAGTTGTTATCAGGTAGATTGTGCATAGCAGCCATGTCGCAAGGTGGTGCTAAAACTGCTCTGGCTATTGCTTTACGGTATTAAATAACTTTTTTTCTAAAAAACTAAAACAGAATTAATGTTTTTTTTTTTAAATTCTTGTTACTAATTGTATTCTTATTGATATTCAGGTATTCTGCTACAAGACTTGCTGTTGGAGAAAAAGGAAAGTCTGACACGCCGATTCTTAATTTTCAGTTGCAGCAACGCGCACTTATTCCATTACTAGCCGAAACTTATTGTCTGAATTTTAGTTTAGATTACATAAAAGAGCGATGGTCTTCTCAAAAAGAAAATGATGCTCGCGATCATGCTCAAATTGTAACAATGTGTTGTGTAATCAAACCTCTGTGTGGTTGGAATGTTGAAAATGTTGCAACAGTAACAAGAGAGCGATGTGGTGGTCAGGGTTTTTTGTCCGTGAATAGACTAGGAACTGTGCTGAGTTCATCACATGCTTCGATAACTGCAGAGGGCGATAATGCCGTTTTAATGCAAAAAGTAGCAAAAGAACGTCTGACTGAATATACAAAAAATGATCTAATGAAAATATGGCTATCTTCCAAATTTTCTTTAGGTTACTTTACTAGATCAAATTTTGATGACTTAGATCATCTCCATGGTCTTCTAAAACGACGCGAAGATTTATTATACATGGAACTTGGATCCAGAATGGCAGCTGCTGGTAAAGCAAAAATATTTCATACATGGATGTATGAGTCTAGTGATTTAGTACAACACGCCGCGCGTGCCTATGGGGAGCGTCTAACTAGTGAAGTTTGCAATAATACACGAAAAAATGCTGACCCATCACTAAGTAATATTCTACACAAGATTCATCATTTATACGTCATATCAATAATAGAGAAAAATCTTGGTTGGTTTATTGAACAGTGCCTTATTCCTTATTCGTCTGCGAGTAAAGTTGCAGAAGTTTCTGCTCGATTATGTAAAGAGATTGCTCCGCAGTCTCTAGCATTAACTGACGCTTTCGGACTTACTGACGATATGATTTCTGCACCGATAGCTTTAGATTGGATAAAATATAACGAATCAGACAATCAAGGAGAGCATATGTCAAAGTTATAATGTATTTAGGTTAAAAAATTTTTAATTACAGAATTTGACGCGGAATTTTTTCCATGATTATATCATTTAAATCTTGATTACTTGCCGAAAGTTATTTTCTTTTTTTAATCATAACTTAATTATAGCGTCGAATGAGTTGTTGTTTTCTTAAACTTCGATGTTTGCGGACCCTCAACAGTTTTGTGTTACTTTCAATAATATTATCGTTTATTTATTTTTTACAATTGAAATTATTTTTTAGTTTATTTTAGTTAAAATAAAGATGTAAAAATGACACCGAGACTGTTATTTATTTTTAATTTTTTTTTGAATGACTAAATTAAAGTTGTCTTAATTGATTTATAAAATCTTGAAATAGTACTTTCCTTCTAATAATCAAGTAATTTTTAATATATCTATAACTTACTAATACTTCTAAGTTAAAGTTCATGCTGTCTAACACTAAAGAGTGCTGTCATTCAACATCTAGTAACAGACTTTGGCATTTAAAATTGTTTCCTGAATCCTTTAAAAAACAATGACTGCGTAATAAAAGATTTCTTCTTTTGTTTTTAATTTTATTTAGGTGCCCCAAGAAGTCCTTACGGTCTTATCACAGAGTACCGCGGATGAGCATTTAATTGGAAGTTCACGTATCCTTCCTAATCGATGTCGCAAGACTTGCCCAGAGGTAGGTATAAACCACGGATCCTTTGTTTCTGAGGCAAGTGCGCTACCACTGCGCCACGGCTGCTCTTACCACTTGCGCTTATCACTGCGCCACGGCTGCTCTTCTAATATCCGAAGGTGGTGAGAACCGACATACATTAAATTTTCCAACACGCATTAAACCATCTAATTATGTAATCCAAGTACCAGTGCTAATAACAAGACTATATTTATCTAAAAAAAATAAAAAATTAATTTCGATCGCGAGTTTGTTTCTAAGTAAATGTCAAACTCAGCCGCGGTAGCGCACTTTCCTCAGAAACTAAGAATCCGTGGTTCTAACCCCACCTCTAGGCAATATTTATGACATCGGTTAGGAAGTAGGCATGAAATCCTTATTAAATGCTCTTATGCGGTGCTCTGTGATAAGACTAAGAAAGGACTTCTTGGAGAACCTAAAATTAAATTAAAATTTTTTTTTTTTAAGTAAAAGCAAGTAAGGGACGTAGAGTTGTGTGAAAAACAAAATTTTAAACATCTTCCAATTGAAAATATGTAATGTGGCAGCAGGGTGTGGCAGCAATGTGGCAGCACACATACCACGCGTTAATAAAACAATTTCTGTCAATTCGTTACTGTCAAAAAGAGTGCTTGTTGCATTTTCGAGAAGTTGTGCATAAAGTTGTTTACATAAAAATATTTGCCCATGACCTTTTTTTGTGGGTTATGCAATATATGTTTTCAGTATTATACTTATGTGTTATTAGCGCCATCTCATCAAGTGGAAACCATTTGTGATATCAACATAACCTAATAAGCAAGCAATAAAACTGTATTTTTTCTGAAAACTGTCCTACGGGGGCCGCATTGGCGCACATTCAGCAATCTCAAAAACAATGTTGAAAGAGAAAAACAGCTATATTCACCAGTTCACCATATAAAACCGATCTGGAAAAGCTTATGGTTTTAAAAACTTAAAAAAAAAAACCCCAAACAGTTTATTAAACTATACAAAGAAAGTATGCAAACGTGCAGCAAAGTTAGCATATTGAGAGAGCTGTGACCTTGTATGAAAGTGTTCTAAGCAAAGTGTACCCCTAAGAGATTTTTAGAGGAGGGATGTGTCATGTCTCATAGTGGCACAACCGTTTTTTTACCTAATTGTAATTTTTTTTCAATAACATTTTTGAAAAATATTTTATTTCTTTCTTAATTGTAGTAATTCTAAGCTTAGCACTGTGCTTGTTCAAACAAGTTATAAAAAAAAAAAAAAAATTATATATTATATAAACTACAATATTATAATATAATATAAAATACAATAATATAAAATACAAAATTTTAATATTTATTGATAAAGTTAAAATAAAAAGAGATTTTGTTGCTAAATTTTTAGGAGTGGTTCTCGACGAGAACATTACATGGAAACCGCATATAGAATATATTTGCTCGAAAATATCTAAAGGAAACGGAGTCATATAAATCCATTTACTTTAAAAGTAAACTTAAAAATTTTATTTTACCTATTGATGATATATTTAAATTACTTTTTATAAGAACTACGTGTTTGCCTTTTTAATTGTAAGAGTGTTGTATTTCTCTTGCTTATTAAAAAGAGATGTATTACTGTATTTACTTTGTATATATATTTACGTGTTTATATATTTACGTTTTTTTAAGTTCTGATGGTAAGATTAGACTTTATATTATATATGACATTAGTGGTTTGATTTATAATTACAATAAATCGTGATATAAATTGGAAATTATATCACGATTTATTGTAATTTTTTAGTTTTGTTAATTTATAATTTTAAAAAACTTGTAAAAGGTTCTGATGATAAGATCATTATGATCTTCTTTCAGAAGCCTTTTTATAAAATATATATATATAAAAGTATATATATATATATATATATATATATATATATATATATATATATATATATATATATATATATATAAATAAATAAAAATAAAAAAAGAATCTTTTATTGTATCTTTTTCACATTTTATACACAAAACAAAAAGTATTGACAATAAAAATCTAACCTGATTAACCATGTACCATGCAAAAAAATCAAAAGAGTTGGACCATAAGTTTACCATTTTTTTGTGTGTAATTTTATCATACGTCAATAGATTTATATAGCTCATCGACATTTTTAAATAAAAACCTTTTTTAAAAACGCTGATGTTTTACAAAAGTTCAACTTGATGCCATAAATTTTCAATCGGATTGAGATCAGGTACAACTTTCAAGTTCTAAAGTTAAGCAGACACCAAAGCTAAAATAGTTGATTATTTGGTACTGTTCTTTATTTAATTACATATGCGGTATTTGTATTTAGTTTTGAACTTTCTATAACTAAGTTTGCTTAAGCAGTAGACGTTAATTAATTTTCCATTACGCCGCTAGATTCCTTTACAACGCAAGAGTTCTTCAGCTGATCGTATTAATATAACAGAAAACATTCTATGATATTGAGTATATTAATAACAATTCAAAAACCATTTTACTTTAAAAAAAAAAGTTAGATTTCTTAGAAACTTTAATTTAGTTTCTTTAAATAATATGCAAATGCGATTATTTATAATATTTATTTTTAATGGTATTTCTTCATTGATTAAATGAATTATTTATTTGTTAAATTCGTTTTATTTATCATATGAATATGATTGAACTTGTTGATATATAAAACATAAAAAACACATAAAAATTTTTCTACCAGTATAAAGTATTAAAACAAAAGTTTATATATATATATATATATATATATATATATATATATATATATATATATATATACACACACAAAATAACATTTATTGTAGTACAAAAAATTAATTGATAAAATGTCTTCACGTCGAAGGTCTACTGTTACTACAAGAGGAGCATCAGTTCTTATCGAAAATTTATATCCAACCAATCATTTGTTGATTTTGACACCAACCAACCCTCTCCGCAGAGCATGTGTTGCAATTAGTACATCCCCAACATTTGAGACTCTTATAATGCTCGCCATAGCTGTAAACTGTGTTATAATGGCATTGAACACTCCTTTACCGAATGGTGATAAATCAAACCTTAACATAAAGCTGGTATGAGTATATATATGTAATTATTTTTACTATTGGTATATTTTAATTATCTAAAATTTATATATAAATATATATAAGCTCTACATTTGTGTTGTAGAGCTTAGTAATCACTCAAACACCTTGATGGTTGTAACTTAGACTTTTTAATACTTTTTTTAGTCCATTTTTAAGACATTACAGCAAATATCAAGTCTAAAAACTTAAAAAGTTTATTCTCAGTATCAAATAAAAATGGTAATTTTTTAGTTAGCATGTTTATAACTATAAACATGCTAACTAAAAAAATACTAATATATAAATCTATTTATAAAATTGCAAAATTGAGTTTTTTTAATGGATTTTTTCAGTAATCGATAATTTGGCACAAATCTTTAATTTTAAAGTTCAAAAAATGTAAGAAAGAATGAAGCTATATCCTTAATAGTAAATGAAGTCTTTCAGCGTCTAGTTTGTCAAATACATGCCAACATTATGTCACTGGAGTACATACATACTCTTTTTTTGGGAAAAAATTATCCAAGTAGCATTATTTTTGAATTTTGTTATATTTACAACCTAAAGCTCAGTCTTTCAATTGATATTCCATCCAGATGTAACATCTAAAACATGAAATCACTGAAGTGGAAAGACATGTTTGGGTCTTTTATCCTACCTGGTTTCTTAAAAATAAATTTATCTCTATAACTTCATGTCAGGAAGATACTAATTTAACAAGTATGAAATACTTTTCCATGGGTTTACTTTTATGTTTTGGTTGTTAATGATTAATCTGAAAATAATGTTACACTTATAAAGAATAAGATTGATTACAAGAAAATAAAGAATAAGATTGATTACAAGAAAAGAAAAGTAGAGACAGGATTCGCTGTTGTTCTTAAATAAAAAAATAAGTTTGAAGAAAAGAGATCACCAAGAAAATTAAATTATTAAGAACTGGTAAAAAAATCGTTTAAAATTGGCTAAAATAAGAGTAAAAAAAGGTTTAAATTACAACCATCATGGCATCAAAAAAAATTGTTTACTAATAGAACAATTTATATATATATATATATATATATATATATATATATATATATATATATATATATATATATATATATATATATATATATATATATATATATATATATATATATATATATATATATATATATATATATATATATATATATATATATATATATATATATATATATATATATATGACAAAGGACAATTTGACATTTGATTATTTTTTAACGGTTTTTTCTTGATTTATATAATATATATGGCTGAAGATTGCCGATAGGCATGAAACTTTTAGTTCCATTCTAAAGTTGTATTTTCCTATTTAATTACACTTTATTTATATATATATATATTGATCTATTTTGTAAAAATTATTTTTACATTATATTGATCACTCTCAAGTAAACAAGAGGACTTGTATCTCAACCAGATTTAATAATAAACAACAATAAATTGCACCGTACGTTGAGCACTCTACTCAAGTTTTCAGCGAAATGGAAAAAACGAACTTGAATTATTCTGTCAAGATCATTCCAATTCCACCAATTAAAGAATACAAAAAACAATTAATTAGCAAAACCGAAGCATTAATAAAAAGAATGAGGTGGAAAGTGTTTTTCTTTATTAATGACGATCGAAATAGTAAGAACAATACCTTTTATAATAATAATTATGGAATAAAAACACCAAATTACCCTAAACAAATTAATGAAATGTGTGCATTTGAAAGTGAATTAATAGAATTAATAAAAAACATAAAATTTCGTAAAGTTTATAGCAAATTCCAGAAAAAATTTAAAAAAGATATATCTAATATACGCAATTGTAATCTTACCTACACTTTTGCAGATAAAACATCTAATTTATATAGCTTATCTAAACAAGACTACAATCATTTATTAACCAATGCCGTAACTTCAACTTACAAAAAATCGGATCCTAAATTAAAAAATGATATAAATAAAAAAGGTAAACGCATTTTACAGAATCATGAAATTTTTAATAAAATCGATATCAACACATCATCTAACTGCTTTATAACATTAAAAAACCACAAAGAAAATTTTGCAAACAATCCAACAGTTCGATTAATAAACCCTGCCAAAAATGAAATCGGCAGAATTAGTAAAGTTATTCTTTCAAACATAAATTCTAAACTGGTAAAAAGACTCCATCTCAATCAGTGGAAAAAAACACAAGATGTAATATGCTGGTTCAAGTCGATCAGTGATCCAAACCTTTATAAGTTTCTCATTTTTGATATCGTTGATTTTTATCCCTCAATAAGTGAAAAACTACTTAAAAATGCTATTAGTTTTGCTGAGCAGCGTCTGGTTATAGATCCTGAGCAAAAATCGATTATTTACCACGCCAGAAAGTCACTGTTGTTTGATAGCAATCAAGTTTGGATTAAGAAGTCAAGCGGATTATTCGATGTTTCGATGGGAGCATTTGATGGCGCCGAAGTGTGTTAACTTGTGGGGGTTTTTCTTTTATTTCAGATTACACAGTTTTACAATAAGAATGATTTCGGGTTATACCGTGACGACGGTTTGGCGATTTTTAAAAACATCAGTGGTCCCCATATGGAAAAAATTAAAAAACATGTTGTTAAAATATTTAAATCGAACGATCTTCTGATATCAACACAGTGCAACATAAAAATCGTAAATTATCTGGACATTACATTAAACCTCAACAACCACACCTACCAACCTTACTCTAAACCCGGAAACTCTTTAAATTACATTCATGCTGAATCAAACCACCCATCCAGTATTTTAAAGCAACTCCCACATTCTATTGAATTAAGATTATCAGCAAATTCGTCAAGCGAGGAAATCTTTCAAAAATCCACTCCAATGTATAATGAAGCATTAACAAAGTCCGGTTTTAATTACAATCTTTCTTACCAACCTAACTTAATACCCAGTGGGCACGGAAGTAAAAAAGACGTCTTTTAAACGTTTAAAATACGTCCAAAACGTTCAAAAGACGTTCAGAAAACGTCTAAAACGTGTATAAGACGTTTAAAAGACGTCTTTTTTTACTTCCGTGCCCACTGGGTATTATCTCACACTAAGAACCGTAAACGTAACATCATTTGGTTCAACCCGCCTTTTAGCAAAAACGTCAGCACGAATATAGAAAAAATATTTTTAACATTAATTGATAAGCAGTTCCCTAAAAATCACAAGTTGCACAAAATTTTTAACAGAAACACATTAAAAGTTATAGCTGTATGCCTTATATGAAATCCGTTTTAAACGCCCACAATCGCCATGTTATAAACAACAAGAAAGAATCAGCTGAAAATAATTGCAATTGCATAGATAAAAACACCTGCCCTTTATCAAACCAATGCTTAACAAAAAAATATAGTATATCAAGCTAATGTATGCTCAAACAATCTTGTTCAATCTCCCATCAATAAATTTTACATTGGCATAAGCGAAACATCTTTTAAAATTAGATATGCTGATCACATTAAATCTTTTAAAATTCCCAAATACAAAAATGACACTGAATTATCAAAGGAGGTTTGGAGATTAAAGGATGAAAACTTAAACCCGGTTGTTAGGTGGAAAATAATTAAACAGTGCGATACCTATAACCCTGTAACAAAACGATGTAACTTATGCTTAAACGAAAAGTACGAAATTTTATTTTTCAAACACCCAAATTTGTTAAATAAAAAGAGAGAAATATTATCTAAGTGCCGGCATAAAAACAAATTTCTTCTTGCCCAATTTGACACTGGGTTTTACAACTATGCTTCTTTTTTATTCGTTTTTTTATTCGTTTTGTTTTGACGTCGGAACTCATTCTACTGCTTTTTTTGTATTTTGTATTTTTTAACAGTTTTTTCTTGATTTGTATAATATATGGCTGAACATTGCCGATAGGCATGAAACTTTTAGTTCCATTATAAAGTTGTATTTTTCTATTTAATTACACTTTATATATATATATATATATATATATATATATATATATATATATATATATATATATATATATATATATATATATATATATATATATATATATATATATATATATATATATATATATATATATATATATATATATATATATATTTAAGTCTACATATAAAATGACCTCACATAAAAGACTTTATTTTAAGTGAGATCATTTTCTTATAAATTTACTATCTTTATTGATACTATTTTAGGACAAATTTGAAATTTATTTTCTGGGCATATTTATAACAGAAGCTTGTTTAAAGATTGTCTCTCAAGGTTTTATTTTGCACCCGCATTCTTACTTACGAATTCCATGGAATATTCTTGATTTTATAGTTATTATCACAGGGTTAGTATTTTTTTATTTAATAGTTAAGTTGCTAAATATAAGGTATATTTTACTAAATATGTAGTACAGCGCCAAATATTACTAGATATGTGGTAGTTGTGTATAGTAATATAACGCTCGTTTGTAAACGCAAAGTATTAAGATATATTTGTTATTAAATTTGGCAAATTAGACTGAAAGATGGTTAAAACACAATGGAAAATAAAAATAAAATTCTTGTTAGCTGTAAGTTTCCAGGGGGTCTAGTAGATGTTACTTTAGTTTCTCAAACAAAAGAATTTGTATAAAAATCAGAGGTTTTATCTGCGTTTTCAAGATATCTGCAGAAAGATATCTAATATGTGAAACTTATTTTAAACGTCTAATTTTTATCGCTTTTACGAGATAAAAATTAGGCATCTAAAAGACGTCTTGAAAACGATCATAAAGTAGATGTTTTTTTAAAGATATCTGTTAGACGCAGAGATATACACGTCTGATTTATACACCAATTCTTGACCATTTTAAATTTCTTGATTTATACACTTATTCATGAAACATGAGATAAAAAAGAAGCAACTAAACGACGCATTGAAGATGGTCACATTATCAGTCTTTTATTAGACTTCCAATAGACGCAAATGAGACGTCTAATTTTTACGCGAATTATTTAGACATATTTAATAAAAACGAGACATCAAAAAACGCTTTAAAGACTATCTCTTTTAAACATTTTAAAAATATACTTTATACTAAAACACTAAAATATACTAATTTTTTATATCCTATGGAATACGTTTTTGATCCGTTTAACTTTTTTAATCTGAAAACTAAATTGCAAATATACAATGTAAGCTAATTGTGTAACTGAATGTTTTTTCACTCATTTTACTAATCAGTTTTTAAAAGCGAGTTTAAAATAATTCTTTTAAGTAACCCACTAGTAGCATTTTTGTGATTGGGTGTTTCCAAAAAATCACGCACCGAAACTCGTGTATGTTTTGTCTATTGCTTTTTAAACAATACAATTGACAATCTCTAATTTACTTTAATTCTAATTTATATAAACATTTTGTAAACAAACAAAGGTATAAATTAGTGATGTATTTAAAGAATAAAAAGTTTAAAATAGAATCACGAACGAAACGGAAAGTTAGATCATAATAAACAATATTTTCTCGGAAAGTTTTACCGGTATTGCAGTCTTCTCCGTTTGATGTAATGCCAGCGTACTAATAAACCCTGGCAGAATGGTCATTTTTAAGTTAGCCTGGGCGATTTAAAAAATTTATTTTTTTCTGCTATTTAAATTAAAATAAAAATACCGAAAAGAATGTTTTAAATAAATACAAGATAAAATAATTTTAGAAAAATGATTAAAAAAAGCCATTTTTCATAAAAGTTAAGCAAAAAAATAAAAAAGTTTTATTGCAATTTAAAACAATCAGTTGGAATATTTTCATAATGGGTAAAAAAATGTGATCTTTCACCACGTACAAAAGCTGAAGTAATGACCCTCGTTAATACTAAAAATTTTTAAAACCGCAAAATATCACAAAGTATAAAAATTTTATGAAGCTAACGTACAACAAATAAAAAAGAAAATTGAATAGGAGACAAGTTAAACCCGAAATAAAAAAGAAAAGATACGGTGGAAAGCCTTTTTTTTAGTCCAAATTTACAATGTTTAAAGAAAATCTGCTTGGAGAATAGATTTGTTACCACAAAACTTATAAAATTACTACTCATAGATGCTAATGTGTACACTTCTGCGCACGCTGTCCAAAGAAAATTAAAAGATTTAGATTTTAAACCCTGCTAGCCTGCCAGAAAATCCAAACTAAGAGTTGCAATGAGCAAAAATCTGAAGCGGACCAAACAGTGGCACAACATTTTTTTCATTACAAATGTTATATTGAATACCATTTTAATTTTTAATTCTAACAGGTCTGCTTTAGCAGTGAAAGCACATCTTATGCAGGACGGAGCGAACTAACGCACAGCACGTGCGAGACCAAAATATCTTGCTGTTGGGAGCGGATGAAGAGGGAAATAAAGTAGTTATTTGATCACAAACCAAACACAATTCTTTAAAAAAGATAATTTATGAGTGAAATTGTTATCTTGAAATGGAGAAGACGATACAGCCTTGTATCGATAGCATGCCGCACAAAATTAAAGCTGAAGTTGCGACTAAAAGTTGCTCAACAAAATATTAACAGTTTATTGCATTAATTTAAATTTTGTTCAAGATGTAATAAATATATATTTTTTCTATGACTATGAAGATTTAATTGTGCTAAAAAACAGGTAATAACGTGGTTAATAACAAACTTTTATATTGTATCTAGAAACAAACATTTAAGCCATATCGTATTACCTGATAGTTAAAAGTTAACTTAGAAATTTGTGATGCGTTTAATAATTTGGCTAGGAACTGCAAGTTCCTACCAAATGTTTCAAATAAAATATTGTTTTTCAAATAAAGTATTGTTTTTCAAATAAAATATTGTTGTTAAGTGTTTCAAATAAAATATTGTACCGTTACAATTCATATTTAATATATTTTCAATAAGAAATAGCAGTCCTCAAATATTTTTAGCTGGAGTGTAGCGCTTTGAAAGTTATTATATATTTTTCAATAACAAATTCATCAACACTTGGGATGGCAAAAATCCCGGAAATTTTTAATCCCGGGATTTCGGGATTGAGAAATTTGTCCACGGGAAATCCCGGGATTGAATAGGAAAAAACGCAAACGCAACTGAATACTTTTAAAGCACTCATCAAACACTTAAAAATGAATAATTTAATGGTAATATAACTAAAATATTTAATACATTAACGAACCTCTAAAATTAGTCATTGAGTCATGTTTTAACTTAATTTTGTATTAAAACTTATCTAAGACTTTTAAAAATTAATAAACCGAAGTATTATAAATTATAAAACAATACCTTAAAATGGTAACACAGTATAAATAAAAATAAAAATTACAAAATAATGTAAATATGCATGACATTAAAAAAAACTTTCGTAAATGACGCATTTTCATAAATCACACATTTGAAAATAAAATGAATGGATATAAAAATGGAATTAAAATCGCGCATAATTTTGGAAGCAGAAAATTCAAAATTAAATTAATGTATACCTTCTATTAAAAACTTTTGGTCTTTTTACCAGCAAGCGCTGGTAAAAAATATAGACCAAAAATAGTTTATTTATTTTTATAGTATATTAGTTTTAAAATTATACTATATATTATATATAGTATAATGTCAAAACTAGTATATTATAAAAAATAACAAAAATTTATGTATGTATATGTATATATATAAAATTTATGTATATATATATATATATATATTTATATATATATATATATATATATATATATATATATATATATATATATATATATATATATATATATATATATATATATATATATATATCCTTATAGTGTAGTTGAAAGAGACTTTTATGGTAAAAAAAGTCTCTTTCGACTACAATTTTTATTACCTCGTCTCTTACAGGGTTATTCATTCTTATATGCGCGTCTATTCATTTTTATATGCGCCTTTATTCATTCTTATATGCGTTTTACAAAAGCAATTGTAAAAAAGCAATTTGAACAAAAAAAAAATCATTTAAGCAATTTGTTTTGAAAAAACAGTTTATTTTTTCAAAACAAATTTTTCTTATTTCCAGGTAAACGAGGTTAAAAATACTTAAAACGAAGACTTTTTACATTCGACGATGGTTTAATTAATTTAGTATTAGTTCTTTGTAATTTTATTATTAAATTTCTTGATTGATTAAGTTATAATTTATCTAATTATTTATTTATCTAGATTTAAGTTTAATTATTTATAATTATTATTAATATCAATACTTAATAGCTATACCATGTAATATAATACTAAATAGCTATACCATGAGAGGCTAGTGTTTGCCTAATAGAAAGATCCAGTGGAATTTACAATTGTCCATAACAAGCACCGGCGCTTTTAACATTTGCATTCCTAATCGCTGGTGCCATCATTGCAGTTATGAAAGTACAAAATGAATCTGCATTCCAGCCTCCAGTTTTTATTTCATAAGCAAGCACTCCCATTGTTGAAACAGCACAAATTAAACTAACATTCTTACCACGATTTGCAGGTGACTGTATAATTCCTGGCGTACCTCTTAGCAAACAACCATATGTGCTGTTAGTGTGCACATCCAGTTTCATCCAAATAAATAAGTTTTTCACCTGAAGTTCCGCTTATTTCGCTTGCAAATGCATAGCGTGCATTAATAACTGGTGTTGAGTTTCGTACTTCGGCACATGCACAACACGTTTTCTTGATAAATCTGAGCGTTTGAGTTTTCTTGAAATAGTCATGCTGAGTCATGTTGAAGCCTGCTGCAGAATGATACTTTTTTATTGCTTCTTGCGTGCAAAGATTGTTTTCTTGTACGCATAATTCGATAATATTTTTTATTTGAGAGTTTATAGGTCGTTTACCTCGTTTTTTATCAGAAAACGACTTGAATGCAGTCATGTCGTCGAATTATCCTCTGTTTAACTTAACGACAAAACTTTGAACTGCGCGCTTTGATAAATTAAGAGAAGTGGAAATGCTTGTTGTAGATTGATTTCTTTCAATTAAATGCTAAAATATTTCAATGTGCTCTTTTGTGACATTTTTCCTTGGTTTACGATTGGTACTCCTATTTCCTATTCCATCCATAGGGATGTATAATTAGATATTAATATTAATGATAAATAAATAAATGTAAATCTAAATAAATAAATAATTAGATAAATTATAACTTAATCAATCAAGAAATTTAATAATAAAATTACAAAGAACTAATACTAAATTAAATAAACTATCATCGAAAACAAAGAACTAATACTAAATTAAATAAACCATCGTCGAATGTAAAAAGTCTTCGTTTTAAATATTTTTAACCTCGTTTACCTGGAAATAAGAAAAATTTGTTTTGAAAAAATAAACTGTTTTTTC